TGTGACGTTAATCTGTGTGTATGACTGATTTGGTGACTGGAGGAACCCAGCCCCATTGAAACAGAGTCCTGCAAGATAGCTCCACTGGGGGTGAGGACTTGCAGGAGGGAGATATACGGCTCCGTATAGAAACACAAGTAACACAAGCAGCACATTGACAGTATTACCAAGGCCCTGAAACATATCCCTAATAAATGAGCACACCCCAAAGTAATGGGCAAATCTGGTAACAGGGGGTAAATACTGCCATCCCCAGGCAGCTCAGCCAGGATCCATAGGGCTGCCCACCCTTTCCCCTCTCCCTCACTCTGCTCCAAGCCAGGACAGGAGCCAGCCTCAGCCCCGGCATAGCCAAGAGTTTTCTGCACTGAGCTAGTGCAGGACAGGCTATTGCTGTTGTTGTTACCTGTGTGATGGCCCCAGGGCCAGGTCGGCCACTGCCACGAAGGCAGGAAACAGGTTGCGGCCTGACCGTCCACCCATCACACCCGATGCATGAGACAAGCACGGACCCCAGGGCTGATCTTGCATGAAAGTGACACTGCTCGTGCCTGCCAATACAGTGAGGATGAGGTATGTACCAGCCATGGGATGTCCAAATCCCCCCATCCAGGCCCACATGCCCCGCTGGCTCGAAGAAGTAAATCCTGCTCGGCCAGCTGAACCATCTCAGCGTTTCCAGGAACCCAGGGCTGTAATCCAAACTGGGTCCTGTGTGCACGGGGAATCTGCGGGTTGGCATCCTAGTGAAAATGCAAGGAGGATTCCCCGTCCCCTGGCTCACTGACCTGAAATGCCCCTTGTTACCCCCATCAAATGTGCTGCCCCATTACACTTGTCTGCTAAGTGCTGAGCAGTTGGGCTGAGCCTGCCTCCCATGAATGCACGGCTGCAATACCATGACACTGAAACCATGCAAGGAGGCTATGCTCACTTCTCATCCTTTTTTTTTTTTTTTTTTAGTTAATTCTGTTTTCAGGCCAAATCTGTTCCGAATTAAGTTCCAAATTTCAAGTGAGCAGAACTCAATGGATCCAGTCTATGTGGTGCTGCCACCAGCCCATCGTGTCCCTCCCAGGCCCTTCACCCTGGGGCTTGCAATACTTCCAAATCCATAGCAGGCTCCTGCATGCAAGCTCCAAGCCTGGAGGCCTTGGGGTTCAGATGTCCCCTCATCTTGCTTGCACTGAGCCAGAAGGAGGAAGCTAGAGGGAGAGCCTCACAGCAATCCCTCATCACTATAAACTGCGTAGCCAAAATCATTACCTTGGAGGCATTTGTAGACTCTTGCAGGGCTGCTCACCCATGGTGCAAGGGACAGGCCTCCACCCTCAACTACAGCTTACAATCATAGGATCATAGAAAATGAGGGTGGAAAGGGACCACAGGAGGTCACATCTAGTCCCACCCCCTACTCAAAGCAAGATCAGCCCCAGCTTCACCATCCCAACCAAGGCTTTGTCTAGCTGGGTCTTAAACAACTCCAAGGATGGAGACTTCACAGCCTCTCTGGGTAACACATTCCAGTGCTACACCACCCTGCTAGTGAGAAAGCTTTTTCCTAATATCCAACCTAAACCTCCCTGGCTGCAGCTGTAGCCCATTGCTCCTTTTTCTGCCATCTGCCACCACTGAGATGAGTCCAGCTTCGTCCTCTTTGAAACCCCCCTGCAAGGAGTTAAAGGCTGCTATTAAATTCCCCCTCATCTTCTCTTCTGCAGACTAGATAAGCCCAGTGCCCTCAGCCTCTCCTCACAAGTCATGTCCCCCAGCCCCACAACCATTTTCTTTGCCCTCCGCTGACCTCTTTCCAATGTGTCCACAGCCTTTCTGTAGTGGGGGGGCCCAAAGCTGGATACAGGACTCCCAATGTGGGCTCCACAGTGCTGAATAGAGGGAAAGAATCACTTCCCTCCAGCTGCTGGCAATGCTCCTACGGATGCAGCCCAGGAAGCTGTTAGTCTTCTTGGCACCCAGAGCACACTGCTGGATCATATTCATCTTCTTTTCCCCAGGTCCTTTTCTGCAGTGGTGCTGCCCAGCCAGTTGGCCCCATCCTGTACCGTCACATGGGATTGCTCTGTCCTAAGTGCAGGACTTTGCACTTGTCCTTGTTGAACCTCATGGGACTCCTTTTGGCCCAGTCCTCCAATTTGTCTAGGTCACTCTGAATCCTAGCCCTACCCTCCAGCGTATCTACTACTCCCCCAGCTTGATGTGATCTTCACTCTTGCTGAGGGTGCACTGCATCCCATCCTCCAGGTCAATGATGGAGACATTGAAGAAAACCGGCCTGAGGACTGACCCCTGGGGCACTGCTCCTGATACCAGCTGCTTCTGTTTGCCAAATGTGGTTACCTTTGACTGGGAGTCTCTATTTCAAGCTCATCTTTTCTTGGTTGGGTAAGTTTGCTCTCACTGTTCCTCTTTGCTCAGGCTATATTTATTCCATTTAGTTGGCCAACTTCCTGATCAGTTTTAAGGTAGGGACAGTATTATTTCATCTGTTCCTTTTACTGGCTGCATGTCTCAACCACAATTCAACTAAGCATGCAGCGTAAGCTAAGCACAAAAGTCAAAACCCAGGCCTGAAGGCCCACGGGTCCCAACACAGCACCCTGCAGGGTCCCTGCTCCTGGGTCCAAGCCTGTGTAAATCCTCTGGACTGGACTGGATTCTGGCACTGATACTCGGAGCCCCGCAAACCCATGTCCCAGGAAGAGTCTCCCCTGATCCTCCCTCACCCTGTGAGCTGCCAGCCCCTCAGGTCTCCTGCTCTGGTATAGGGAGGTCTTGCTTCCAATGCGCTTCCCTCCATTGGACCCACAGCCGGGATGGCAGAGAACACCCTGCTCCCACCTCCCACCCCAGCCCCTGGGCCTGAGGCCAGCCTGGAGCAGACCCCTTGGGGGGACATCAGAGCTGGCAGGAGAGGCCCCCTGGGGAAATGGCCCTGCCAGTGGAGAGCCTGGCATGGGTTCTGCTGGCCCCAGTGCACGGGAGGAGGCAGCCGTGGTGGGGACCCCCTGGCTCCAGGGTGTCCGTGGGCCCACAGTGCTGCATCAGGGATTGGCCTCCGACACTTGGAGCTGGACCCCAAAGACCCACAGGCTGCTTCCTCTCCATGCTGCAGCCTCCCCCAGTCCTTCCCTCCCAGAGTGGAGCAGGGCTGGTGTGGGCTGGGAGTCCCAGTGCCCACTGAGTCCCATTTCATATTCTGGCTGGCCACAATATGCACTGCCATTGTCAAGGTAATCAGAGCCCTCAGCACCACCAGCAGGATAAGCCCCTTGGCCTGGCAGTAGGACAGCGACGAAGCCTGGGAGGGTGGTTGGGCTGGAACTAGAGCAAGCCAGAAGGTCAGAGGCAGGGGGAAGTGGCTGGTGCTGCCCTGCGGTGTTTGCCCTGGGGTACAGTGGGGATCGGCCAGCCCCTGGGGCGCTCACAGAGGGAGGAGGAGCCCTGCAAGGGACTCCAGGCCTGGCCGTCCCTGCACAGAGATGCTGCATGTGGCTCCCTGGGTAGTAGAGTCAGGGGGAATCTGCAGGGCAGGAATTTCTGGTGGAGAGGGGGCAGCATCTAGAGTCAGGAGCCTCGTGGTGGCAAACCTGGGACCCTGAGGCCCATTCGCCCTGGGTGCAGGCTAAATGGAGCTACCCCACAGGGCATGTTACCTGCACAAAGGGCTTGACAGAGGCCGTCGTGGAGCTGCTGCTGGCGTGGCTCTTCACCGTGTGTGTGACAATTATCAGAAGATCTGGGTGAGAGATTATCACAATGGATCCTTGAAGCTGAATTTTGTATAGCTTGCCAGGTAGTGAAGCAGGACCGATGCTGAGGCTATGTCCTCTTAGTGCTTGTGTGTCTCAGGAGCAGCTCCCCTGAAGGCAGCTGGGCAAGCGGTTCTGTCCTGCATCTCAGCTATGGAAACCCAGTGCAACCAGGAGAATCGCTATCCATGCTTTCAAGGAAGCATCTATGTGCAGGAGATGACATAGGTCTGCTATGGGCAGAGCCACACTAGGGCTTGAATGTGAATGCTGCCCAAGGAGAGGGAGGCAATGAAGTTTTTGCAGGGACTGGATTTCCTAGAAAGCTAAATCCACGGGGTTGCAGTCTGGGCCCATACAGGGACAGATTAGTTAAAGGAAAAAGGATTCTGATCCAATCCAGAGGTTGATAGAAATGGATGAAGGACTTGCTGGATTGCTGGAAAGTTTTCAGCTCAGTCTCCCCACCTGGATGCCAGCGGGGGACTCTGCTGCACCTGTCACAGGAAGATAATGGGGCTGCTCACAAACCTGTGGCCAGGGAAATGGGGGACAGCCCAGCCAGGAGGACTGCCCCAGTGCTGGGGAAATGGTGCTCCCAGCTCTGCAGCTTCCCACCGGGGTGTCCAGGGGGCTGCTCCAAGGCTGGAGACTGAGCCCCACTGGTCTGCCAGGAAAATTTTTCATGTCCCAAGTCCCATCAGCCAGATCAATTCCAAATCTAGGAGGAAACCCGCCTGCCTGGGCACGGTCTTTCCCCTGCCAGGTGAGGCCAGGAGGCGGCGCGGGGCCCCGGGCATCCCGGGCACGGCGCTGGGCCGGCCGCAGGTGCGGGGCCTGGAGGCGGC